AAATTGGCAGAATATAAACCAAGAATATTAAATGGAAAAAAACATTTTCAGGTAACAACCATGTTTTGGTTAATTATTACAATTCATTTGACCTACAAAATACTAATTTCATCAAAATCAAGACACTGAAATTTAATAATAGCCTACTTCTGTTAACTTCTGTGAAAGTTTACAGAAAGTGAAGGAAATTAGTCCACCTAAGACTTGAACTGATTTTTAACCTATTCAATTAAATAAAAAACGAGAGATACCTAACTATTGATAGGGGTTCTTTATTCATCCATAAAATTACAATTATGTAATGTTATGACTAGCTTTTACATCAATGTTGTGGTAAGGGACAGCATGTTGGGACCTGTCCCTACACTGACAGCTGTGATAAAACTTGGTGTATTAACTTGATGCAATACCTTTGACACATGCTAGCTATGCCTATTAGAAGCTAAGAAAACACATTCAAATAATATTATTTACAATGTTTCACTCAAACAACTTAGTATGAATCTGAACATTAAAGAAAAATACTTTACCATGAAAGTGATTTTTTTGTAGAAGGAATGGTCACATGTGGCTACTTTCTTCCAGGAAGGATGAGGGTCTAATTGAGCATGTGCAGTATGAATATCATCACTGTTGCTCTTTTCTGACTGAAGAAAAAAGCCAGGTTGCCACTGCCCCTAGTTGCAACCGTCCCCTCTCGCCCCCTAGTGTTCATATTGCAACTCTAAATAGCGCACATTTTGTAATGCTAGTATGTGTGGAAATATTTAAACCATGTGTAGGAGTGGTGACTTTCCACGTATTCCCAACTTCTGAGCCTGCTCGCCGGAAGTTATGGTTGATTGCTCTTCGGCTGGATATCAACACACGCATTAACCTAAACTATGCCAGAGCGCGTACACACCTCACGCAGCAGATGCCGTGCGCACGCCGAAAAACAGTAGGACATAGTGCTGTATTAGAGGTCAAATATGATATAAATACTGTTCGGTTTCTCACACAAACCGATCGTTTCGTGTCTTAGGACATCAATGTGTCATCACGAGCCGCAGGGTTTAATTTTTGGATTTGTCTGTGCATGTTTATCTTACTCTCATAGATTTTGTTACCATTGCCATGCATTATACGACTGATAGAATGCAACGGTTAAAGTTAAAAATCATCATATGTGTTCTACTGAAGAAACAAAGTCACCTACATCTTGGATGCCCTGGGGGTAAGCAGATAAACATCACATTTTCATTTTTGGATGAACTATCCCTTTAAACACACCTGAAGCAGCTAATCAAGATCTTAGGCCTACTAGAAACTTCCAGGCAGGTGTGTTGAGGCAAGTTGGAGCTAAACTCTGCAGGACAGGACACCGATTTTTGAGACCCCTGCTGTACCCACTTCCGTGACGGCTACACGTTCATGGTAACACATTTGCATAAATCCCACCTATGTTCCTCGTTGGCCGGTCGCGAACAGCTTCACCCACCCTCAAACACATCATTTTACTAACGACTGCTTCTGTAATCTCGGGGAGTTCAACGCTGGATTCACAAAACGCTCGCTCTTGAAAGATGAGCTCAGTGCTCAGTTTATTTGACCAGCTGGCTCCACTGAATCACAACCTGTAAGTATGAAAAATAATAACAGATGTTTATATTTTCTATCAAGCGTTCAAAATACAGAATTATGGCGATGGGCACATCGTTTCCGACACGCGCTGAACACGGTAGACCAATCACAACAGACTGGGCCATCTGACCAATCAGAGCAGAGTAGACTCAGGATTGAAGAGGTTTAGTGCAACTGAATCTTAGAACTGCTTCAAACGAATAGAGAATTTGAAAATCATTGGAAAATGAGGTGACAGTAAATGCATATTTTGTGAAAACGAAAGCGTTTTTTGACATTGCATGCATGTAATCCTATTGTAGGAGACTCCCGAACAATATTAGGAACCTTAAAAATGGCATAATAGGGGGAACTTTAAACTGCTATTCTAGCTAAAACACAAGTCTGTAATCCATAATAACGCTTCCTCCAGTAAAAGGTTCATCCCCTCTTGTCCTTTCACATCAACGTATTTGTTTAGAGCTGTTTTGAACTATTTTGGCTGGTAAACTGTGCTTGATCTTGCATATTTCTCTCCTTATTCAGACGAGATGACTTTTTCTGTTGAGAAAGCAAGATTATAGGACTCATATTTTAGCCAGAAGCAGCCGTTTAAAGTTAAAAACATCTTAATGATGGACTTGTTTCTTACAAACACACAAGACATTAACTGATGGACTGGCGTGGTGTGAATTACTTGTGGATTATTGTGATGTTTTCATCAGCTGTTTGGACTCTCATTCTGACGGCACCCATTCACTGCAGAGCATCCATTGGTGAGCAATAATGTAAAAATGTCCAAATCTGTTCCCATGAATAATCAAACTCATCTACATCTTGGATGAGCTGAGGGTGAGTACATTTTCTACAGATTTTCATTTTTTGGTGAACTATTGTTTCAAATAAAAACAATTAAAGAGAGTAACAAATGCAGGTAGCTAACAGAAACCAGTCTCTGTTTAGTGCTTGGAAGGTTAAGTGTGCTCATAGGTTGTTTGTTGTGTCTCCAACAGCAGGTGGCGTCATTGACTAGAACAAGAAGCAACCTTAGTGGATTCCTGTCATCAGTGCTGTGAAGTAGTGAGCTTGCCTGACATGTCTTGTGGCACTTTGTTTTGACAGAGAAAAACTATAGAGTAATGCATCAAGCCTCTTAAGGGCTTCAGGGCTTTCTCTTTACGCCAGTAATTCCAAATACAAATACAGTTTTATGGGAACAGATTATATAAATAAAATGAAAATATATTTTTTTATGTGTGCAGATAGTTTGAACATAAATCTAGAATAAATCCCAAGCTTTCTCTCCTTTCAAATTATAGAGGTAAGAGATAAGATGGACTCGGAACGCAATTACCTTTTTATTAGTAGTATTATTTTATTGACACCATATTTTTCTGAGAAAAAAAAGCAGGTCTTTTGAGTCATTGTAAATATTTCCTTTCAATGGGAGATAATAATAGAAACCGGTCGCAGATGCGTGGGCTAAAGACGTGTCAGTCGCACTTTCAATTCCTCTGCACAACAGTGCACTTATTGTTTAATCTCTTTCGAAACAATATAATGATACAGCTATTCAGTACAAAGCAAACCGATCAAACACAAGATTAAACAGGAAAGCTTCATCTTGCCTGAAGCTTCATCAAAGAAGATGCATTTTATCAGATTCGTTTGTACCTTCCTACCTCCTGAACTCAAAGTGCCTTTGCTGCGACTTAACTACTTTTAAGAGAGAGTAATTACTGCTTTCATGACCTACTTCAGGCAGCGTTTGATGTTCATTATCTGCAGAAGTCAAGGGCTCCTGTGATGTGGCTTTTTAAATTTTTTGGAAGGATGCACAAAGAAATCACTTTGCTATTTAACTGCTGTTAGACCTGTATTTCACCCAACGTATTCTGTTAAGCAAGCTTCAATAATGAGAGCTCCGAGAAAAAACAAATTAGATGAAGAGAACTTGTATGTACAGATACAATATAATATCTAAAGAGAAATAATAATGCAATATAATATATAAAGAGAGATAAATGCACAAATTCAGAATGAACTTGACAGTTTTTGTGTTAGAAAGCATAGAGACTGAAAACAGACACATTTTTATATAAAACTATTCTGATTTTCGTATGGTAAAATGTTATCCGCTAATCTGTTTCTCTTTAATTTCTCTTTCTGTTCTGTTTTTCATGTCTGTACTTTATGATGTTCTTGAATAGCCCCGTGTGGGTGGAAGATGGTGGTGAGGTTCATGGAAAACAAACAAAAAAGACATTAAGACACTTTACATGCCACTTGCTGGAAGTCTACAACCACACGGCCTCTGTAGTACTTCCTCTGTTCGTGGGCTTGTGTCGTTTTTCAGTCAACTGTTGCTTTTAATCTGATTAGATGCATTGGTTTTATTTTAAGGCAGAGGCTATTTGCACTAAGTGTAAGTAATAGTTAGATGCTAGTAGTTATTTCAATTTAGTGGAAATAGTGGCGTATACTTTTTGCAACTCGGTGTATTGTAGTAGCCTACATTATAAAACAGAACACAATAATAATAGCATATTCAGTTTATATGATTTTATTTATTAAATTCATAAGTGGATGCTACCTTATTGGGACCTTACTTCTCCCTACAGCCCACCTCTAAACCTGTTTATTTCCTTGTATACTTAGACACTTTATTTCAGTTTTTTGAATATTTTCTTTAAAGCCGGGTTTGTCACATCAAAAGTTAAAGCCACTGTTCTTTTCTCCACATCACTACTCATGTTACCAGATCCGTTTCTTTTGTAATTTTGTCTGGTTCAACCAGATAATAGTGAGTGGAGTTTGTGCAAATAGCCTTTGCTGAAAAGACAAGTTATTTGCATTTAGTGTTAAAGGGGTCATATGACACGATTT